ATATATTACATACTTTAAGACTTTTACTCAAGTTATATTCTTAGAGGAGACTTGAACTTTTACCAAAGTAAATTTATGCTGAGACACTTGTACTTTTACTCAAGAATCACTTTTGAGGTACTTTATACAACACTGGTTCTCTAAGGGCTTTGACCCAAACGGCCAGAACCCAATCCTTCATCATGAGATGATTCTTTCAAGGAATGCTCAGCCTGAAATCCTTGAGCACCTTGAACTCTAAATCCTCTCTGTAAGTCTCCTGCCCACAGGTTTTATCGTGTTMTCGTGTTTCTCAGATCGTGGGCGACGCTGTGGGCTGGGGCTTTGTGGTGCGAGGCAGCAAACCCTGTCACATCCAGGCCGTGGACCCCGGTGGACCTGCTGCTGCCGTGGGCATGAAGGTGAGACCTGGAGACATGAGATGCACGATGTAGACTCTGCTAACATCGAGCAGGTGTCTTTGGGCCGTTGCTTCTATGAGTAGGATGATCTTCAGTCATGTTCAGCCTGAGTATTTCCCCRTTTTAAGTATTCAGATCGCAGAAGTTTTAAAACAGGAACAGAAAAGAGGAACTGRTTTTGTGGTTTTAGCAGGAAGGAGGACAGTGGGGAGAAGCTGTAAGAAAATTAAAATTTAGAAACCAAAACAGAGGAGTGCTGACTCTCCTGCCTCAGCCGGCACGAAAAGAATGTCAACAGGAACCGCAGCTAGGAATCCTGGGAATGTTTTCAGTTCAGCCACGACACGCGAGGGAGGGAAGAAAAACTCAGCAATTTTAAACAGGAGTTCATTCTCACCGAGGGCCACGTGAGCGTTATGATGCATTTCTACTCATTTCCATACACTGAAAAGTACTGTGTACTGACGAAACGTGAAACAAATGTCTAAAAATACTGGAGTTATAGCCATTTGAAATTAGCAGCGGCCATCTTGAATATTCAGCCTAGCTCCGCCCCTGGTTCTCTATTGATTACGGTTGTTACCAGGTAACATTTAAAGAGGCCTCATCCTTCAAAATGTCTTTGTTTTGCTGGAAACCCATTAAGTGAATAAATTTATGACTTTTTCTGCTTTTATTGTTTTGGTGATTCAGTCTCTGAGGTCACTTGCTGAGATAAATCTAACAGCATCCTCACTGACTGATAACATTCCTGTGTGCAGAAATGCGTCCTACAAGTTCAAATACCTGCACTTCCTCCCGTTTTATCTCAGCCGAGCAGTTTTACTGATATTTAATGACTCAAATCCATCAAACGTGTCAGGTGTTGGCACTTCAGTCCAGGCAAAAGGCCAAAGGAGAAGCTCCACCCTTCAGATCTCTACCTTCAAGTTGTAAAACAATTAACAGGCTCTCCTCGAGTTTCATCACTAAACTCATAAGCCTTTGTGTGCGTGTGTGTGTGTGTGTGTGTGTGTGTTCTGTTTATTAGTTTGTTCACCTCATTTAAAGATGCACATTGTTTTAAGCCAAAAAGACAAAATAAAAAGTTCCGTTCTTCAAAGCTGTTTTTCCCCACCTCGGGGTGACCCCTACAGTTTGAGACTCTGAAAACAACCCTCACTCGCTCAGACCCTCCAGAAGTCTTGTTGATGTCTCCAGGTCGCCAGGCAACCGGTGCACTTGTGCAAGTCACAGCTCCTGGCTGAGAGTTTTGTTTTTAACCTCCCTGTGAAACAAACAACTGCTGCTTTTATTGATCAACTTGATGTTTTTCAGCACGCAAGACGTGGGACAGTGAGTGACGACTCTCAGTGGTGGACAAAGTACTCAACTCTAGTACTTNGGTAATGTCTGACTGGGCCTCGTGTCACTTTATGTTCAACTAATTGGGCCCCGAGGTCAAAAAGGTTAAGAACCCCTGTTTTAGACCTAAAGACCTAATAGCTTTTTAAAATACTTTTGAAATAAATTAGTGTCATTTTAAATTTTTGCGTAGTGTTCAAAAATAGATAATCTTGTGCAAATCAGTGGCAGTTTGTGTAACTTATATTTAAAGCAAATAAAAGCAAAGATTGTGAAATTCCCTCTTTTTTTTCTCAGCCTGTCACTTCTAACACGTCGGTCCTTTCTGTCCAGTGAGTCCCACTAAAGAGATAAAGTTGATGGTCGGAGCTCGGCGGAGCAGCTTGAGCAGCAGCTGTGGCAGCAGCGGTTATTACAGCAGCAGCCCCACGCTCAGCAGCAGCCCACCTGTCCTCTGCAACCCCAAATCTGGTAGGAAGAGACAGCTGCAGTACGGCCCTTCATCATGCAGATTTTATGGTTTCATACTAGAAACGGAAAAAGTCACATTTTATTGCACCATTAACAGAAGTGGAAAACTTTTCTGAAGCAGATAAATGCGATTTTTTTTATATATTTTTTTACTATTGAAGACATTGATTTAACCACTAAACACAGCCAGTAGGACATTTTCTATTTATACCTATTAATAGTTGTAAATTTAAATCTAGTTTATTGTACACATAGAAAACTCAAAAATAAAAACAACTCCTAAAAATCCTAATTAAATAGTTTTTAAAATATCTTTTGGCATACAAAGGTTTTTTTAAGTTATGAATTGAAGCAGTGTGTTTTCTTCTTTTTGTTACTTTACTATGACAATGTTTCCCTGAATGTTTAAAACGAGTATCTCTTTGTGCAGCTCCAGATGACACAGGCAGAAAAAGGAAGGCAGACGTGCACATACACAAACTGATATTTCCCTTTTTTCCTTTCTAAAATTAATCACTTTTGTGTCACATGCTGTGAAGATGAGGAGTGTAAAACTTGTAACACCCTCACAGCAACAYGGAAAAATTAGGAGGAGTAAATTGAGCTTAGTGTCTGAAATAATTACAATGTTAAACAGATCAAACATTAATCCTGCTCCTCTTATATGAGGCTAAAAGTCAGTTGATAAAAGTATTCAACAAAATCGTTCCTCACGTCTGAGCAGATTAATTTTCACAAGACGTTTATGATAAAGTTTTATTAAACTTCCTCTTTTAAATCAGATGAGTGTGAAGAGAACCACACAGTGACCTTTATGTCACAGTTCGCTAGTTTATAAGTTTCATCGTCTTCAATTTATTTATCTGACACACATGCATGAAGACAGTTGACTTTAGTGCTTTAGATGAAAAGCTTTCTTTATTAATGTGTCTTTTGTTCTTTATTTTTGTACATTTTAAATCTAAAGGTGTAAGTTTTTGTGTGGAGACATGATGCAGTCAGTCATGATCAGGGGGACGTGGGAGGAGGGGACAGAAACATGTTTTGAGGAAGCAGCGTGTGTCTGAGCTCTGTCGGCACGCCACCAGCATACAGCGGGTAAAATAAGTATTGAACACGTCACCATTTTTCTCAGTAAATATATTACTAGAGGTGCTAATGA